TTACTGTTTAAATCAAGTGACGGGTTAGAATATGTTTTATTTCCAATAAAAGAGTCGAAAAACAGTAGAATTCATTTCTGAAAATGGTTGGAAAATCTAACCAAAAAGTGAATGACATTAAATAACACTTAATAGTTGCTGCACCGTGCAGTATTTGACCTGTGTACATTGCAAAAGATACATGTGTATGATGAAATGTGAATTGTTGGACTCAACAACCTGCCTCTTACTAGTTTTTCTTATTTGATAAAAATTTCTATCCCACTATGTCTCCTCTCTAGTCTCAACTAATTTTCCCATCAACGTTCCTTCCTTGGTTAACGTGTTACAGAAAGGCGGCTTCATGAATATGCAGAGTCACACTTGGCCGTCTGCACCAACAACAAAGGAGGAAGACATTAACATTCCTGCACATGCTTTGCACTCTGGTCAGGGACACACACACACACACACACACACACACACACACACACACACACACACACACACACACACACACACACAGGTGTCCGTTTTAGAAACACTGTGCATGGCTTTTGAGCAGGAATTACATTTTCTGAATTGAGAAATGGAGCAAATAAAACATAATAATCCTATTTTTAATGAGTTGAGACAATGAATGTCTTCCCACTACCGATATATTAATAGTGGATGGTTAGTTTAGAGCTGAAACAATTAGAATGACCCCAGCCGAGGAGTTTATATTTACGTGTTTTTATTTTATATTTACCGCCGACCACCAAGTACCGTGAGCAGATGTTTGCCCTCTTCTGAGCGCTCTCATAGTTATTTGATATTTGGTTAAACGTTTTTTATTCCATTAGCAAGTGAGCATCTGCTGCTCTCCTGGTCTTTGATATACTCTGAATGTCTTAGTTTTGGACGGCTGTCCGGACAAAACAAGCTGCTCAAATATGGCTGCTGGGGCTTTTAAAAAATTGTGTTTAAAGAACTAACCCTATTAATAGATAACAAAGAACAGATGAGTCATAATTTACACTTACTTGCAGTTCACTTGACACAAAGGGTTTCCATGACACGTCCGCAGGAGTAGAAGAAACACAACCAGCCTCACTGTGCACATGGTGAGAAATGACCTGGTTTACGCTCTCACACCACACAACGGCTCTTCTTACATATAACAAAGAGATATGAGCGGTTTAATATAAGATACCACATTTTGCAGTCAACACAGGACTTAATTAAATGTTACATGACTCACGGACACACCTGACAGTGAGCCTACATGGTAGTAAATCACTGCAAGGGAGTGTGTAGATGTGATTGTGTAGAAATCATTGCGCTTCTACTATACTTCCCCTTTATATATCAAACATATTCTTCCAAGCACATTTATAATTAGTACTCCACAACTTTCACTTTTGCTCTCTGCACTTGTGTGTTTCCTGTGTATGAATCTTCAATTCAGAGAAATCCGTCGGCACAAACTCTCTCACACACACACACACACACAAACCCCAACCCCAGATGTGCACACATCCACAAACAGACACGGACGAACATTTGATAAACATGCTTTGTGTCTCTCTTCTCCTCCACTTGTTGAGATAAGACTGAATCTGTGACCGTCACGGGAGACCGGTCAGCACACACACACACACACACACACACACACACACACACACACACACACACACACACACACTCTCGAATGTACGAGCAGGAGTCCATCCAGATGAGGGGCGATCCGGTTTCATCCGTCCTAACAACAGGCTATCTGATCCGAGGTCAGTGTCAGTCAACCCGTGAGCTGCAGAGAATGTGAGCTGTTCATCTGTGCTTCAGGTCAGACGATAGCAACAATACTGCAGAGAGTCTGCTTGGGAAAACTCGTGATCGGGGTCAGACTGATAGATAGAGCCAACATCTATGGAGAGGATGAGTGTTTCTGACAGAGCTACAAGTGTAAAACAGAAGAGCAAAGTCTGATCTAAATCTAACTCCCAAAAGATATAACCCCACACCCCCAGGGGGGAATGCAACCATTCAAGCTGAAATAGTGTAAGAGGAGAACAAAATCCTGAGTGGGCACAAGAAAATATTCCTACATCAAAGGCCTACAATCCTAAATTAACATTGATTGGCCTTTTGGTTAATAAAAACAGCAAATGCTAAAACACAAATCGCTGGAGACTCAAAGTGCGTTTTGGTTCCAAGGCTTAAAAATTGAATTAGAAAGAAAAATAATTCCATCACACTCACTCCAGTAAATTCCAACTGGATTAAGTGTTTCTGTGCGCATGACACACACACACACACACACACACACACACACACACACACACACACACACACACACACACACACACACACACACACACACACACACACACACACACACACACAGAGGTAGAGAGCGACGTCCCGAGGGATGCAGACTTGCGGCTGGAGGCCAATAACGGACCACTTACCCAGCTGACCACAGCGCGGAGCCGTTACCTCAGAGGTTAAATGCGACATAAGTTGATTTGAACCACCACTCAAACGTTGCGGACAGTGTTACTGTGGGCAACACCGCACAGACTTTACACACAGCACCGGTGAGGAGAGGTCAGGTTACTCAGACGTGTAACAGAGCGAGGGAGATTACTGATGGGAAAATAAAGAACATTAAGGCTGAACCGGACCTCTGTGGACTAAAGCGCGTATTCACCGCTTTTAACTACTGTATAAATATAAATATTTCTTTCTGTATCGTTTTTAAGAAAAAATGTACTTGTATATATTTTTAGCGAGGTATTGTTACACTATACTAGTTGATTAAGTGACTAAATGAAACGGCCACTATTTCAACTAATCAAGTAATTAATTCATTGTTTGGAATTTCTTTGTTACTCTATTGTGAAGCAAAAGTAGAGATAAAATCTGTGGTTTCAGCTTTTTGAATGAGACATTTTCTTGATACACAGAATTCCTTTTGGATTGTTGGTTGTACAAAATAAAAAAATAAAAAGTATATGTGACCCTGGGCATCAGGAAATGGTGATGGTCATTTTTGATAACTATTTTATGACAAAATGATTAATCCATGAATATAATAAGCACAATATTAAAAAAATGAAACCAATCACTCGTTCCAATTACAAGCATCATTAACAGCATTTTTCCTCCTTTGGTCCTTTTCAACGTTCGCTCCCCATTTACTGAAACCAACCGTTCCTCCGCCAGCCTCCCAAGTCAGCGCAAAACAGTGACAAAAGAAAATGAAATGGAAAAAAAAAGCAAAGCCCCGGGATCAGCTGACCCAATTGTCTGGAAACCAGGATCAGGAAGAGGATATGTGCAGCTATTACAATCAAGCCTGCTGTTATCTGTTCCCAGCACTGCGTCGGCTCTGCCAGCGAGGACAGAAGGGAAGACATACGAATATTCAAATGGATATAGAGAATATACAGGAAGAGGTTGTGCCACGCACGCCGCGCGATAAAAGTTACACAAAAGGAACCTTGGTGGCCGCAGGTACTTTATAGTTTAAATGGCCGTCTGAGCTCTAGAAGCGTTTAAACGTTTTACACACATGTGGCCCAGACTGCTGCCCCCCCCCCTTAGACTGCTAACCAGCCCCCAACCTCAGAGACGCCTGGCCCCCCCGGGCGCTGCACCCGCGGCGGCGACGTGCTGGATGCTTTAATGTGAGGTTACGCCTGTGCGTCTGTGTGAGGGAGCAAAGAGAGCGCTTAGGAAGGAAGACGAAAAGGGGGGGGGGGCGGGGGGAGGCGAGCCAGTGTCAGTTGCCTCGCGTGGACAACGCGCATGTAACCAGATCCTAAAGCCACAGCCGTGACCTCACCGGGTTGTTTTTCCACAGACGCGCACAGAGAACATAGCAGGTCCTTTGGTTAGCACACGGCCAGCGGAGGCTGGCACGGCGAGGGCCGGCTCCTATTCAGGGAGGCGCGCATTGTAATCCTACACACAGCGCCATCACACCCGGGCCAGAGAGCGCTAATCTAGACTAAAAGAGGCAGGACACAAAGAAAGGGCCGGGGCGACTTGCTCCTGATGGGCGGAGCAGTGGATCAAATGCGTTTTGATCTCAGGTTGAAGGAGAAGCCTGTGAGTGTTTCCCATGTGAGTCAGCACGAAACAGAGTCGCCGGGGGGCTTCTGAAAGTTTTCTCAAAAAGAATGTGAGGGCACTACTTATTGTATTATAATGTTATTATAAAGAAAGGCATCCGTATTTGGTTATGTAGATTTTATTAAAGCAGAGTGAGATATTTTGGTAATAAATGATGGTAAAGAATGTGCCTGGTTCCGGATAAGGTTCACACATCATACCCACTAATCGATTTTGACATTTTTTACTGAAAACGTGTGGGGGAGGAGAAGAAATTGCCATGTAGTAAAAAGGTTTGTATCACGTTAAGATGGTTCTCATGTTTATCTTAAAATTCTGGGATTTGAAATGCCAGAACTTTAAGATAAACCAAATCACTAAGAAATGACTCAATCAAGGGGGAAACTGATAAAAGCCAAAGTGAGGCCGTCACTACTGTTGTTTATCAGTGACGTTTACTCCCTGCTAAACTAATTAGGAGATATAATTCAAAATCTTTTGAATCACTACATCGCAATGTTTTCTCGCAGCCCGACTCGGCAAAACGTCGACTATCGTACTAACTATGACGTACTAAACACGGTTGTTTTTTTGTCTAAACCCACACATGAACACCACAACGGGCCGAGCAACTAGGCCAACACCTGTTGTGTACTTTACAGCTCTGAAAATCAATCGGCATAGATCGTTCTGCACCGGAGAAAAACAAGAATTTGTTTATTGTGCGTGTGCGTGTGCGTGTGTGTGTGTGTGTGCGCCGTAAGAGCACAAGAAGGTTGACTGTTGACAGGCAGCATTCTTCCACATTAATGTTTTAGCGTGATGGCTGTGGCCAATTCCCTTTGTTGAAGTAAAGTTCAACTAGTGCTTGTCAAGCTACAGGTGGTTTTTAGTACGTTTTCATGAGAATTAAGTCTTACCTGCACCTGTTTGAAATCTGTTGTCCGGTCTGTCTGTCTTTATGATGTCCCCAGAGGTGAAAATTCCATCTGCGGAGACAAATAAACGAGTAAAATGAAGCTCAAGTGTGTTGTTTAATAAACTTCTTTTTTTTAAAGCTTTTTTCTGGTGTTAAAGTTAAAGCCCCAGAGGGTTGGTTCCTGCTGGCAGACAAAGGAGGCAGAAAAAGGTTACAGTGGACACAAAGCTCCTTAAAGGTTTCGTGTCGGCAGATTCAGCCACCTGATGGGTGCTGCTCTCAGGCCGCCAGTGAGCCGCAACCCTCAGGTCCAAAACATTTCAGAATAGTCCGGTTCAAATGCGGCAGCGCTCATGGAGCGGGATGAAACCAAGCACACAAAAACACGCTTTAAAACGACAGAATGAAGATGAGAAGGCAAGTAGTGGTTTGTTGTCTTTTTTTGTATTCTAAAAGCATCTATTCCTCACTATATTTCTGTTTGTGTGTGTGTGTGTGTGTCACTAACTCACGATGTGGGGACACGAATCTGCTTACGCAGTCACGATGTGGGGACCCCCTTTCTGTTGCAAATGAAAGTTCACTCAATGTGAATTATTAGTGTTATTATATTGTTGTGTTTATATATATATATATATATATATATAGATAGACGTCCTCTATAACGTCCTCTAAAGTGATGGAAACACAACCGTGTGTGTTTGTTTGTTTGTTTGTTTGTTTGTTAGGCCTGTAACTGCTAATGCTGGTTTTGGTCTTTTCAGCAGCAAAACGCTAATCAGGGTAAAAACCGAAGAGCCAGAATGAAACTCTATTTAAATAATACTTCTGTAAAGACATTACTGGCTTTCAGACAGTCTCAACTCAGCCCCTTGTGTTTGTTTACAAAGACAATCATTTATGACGGGATTTCACACTTTTACAGTGACTTTTTCATAGTTCTGCACACGCACGTCTGGCTGTAAGAAGGATTAAACAAAACAAGACATTGGTTCATATGTGCAGCGCTCTTCGGGTTTTCCCCAAAACTTCTCATGGCCTGACGCACTTGCGCGTGTCACTTGTGTGCGCTCGTGAGCAATTAAAACCGTGCAAACACCTGCGCGGGCACCGGTAAGTATCGTTTTTGTTCTTTCTATCAATGCAAAACTCGCATAAAAACACCAGCACATATGAAGAAGTGAAAAGGCACAAAGCTCCCAGCTGCTCCCACATCGAAGCCCGTCACCCGCAGCGCGTCCTACCTCGTAAAGAGCCAAACCCGGTAACACCTCTCGGGGGGGAAAAGGTTGGAAAATAATCCAGATAGAAAACTTTCTCGTGCCTCCTTGGGGGGCAAAAACCGGCCGGGAGGTGATGGTGCGAACCGCTGGTGTTGTCAGTCGTCAGTAACAGAGGAGGAGGAGGAGGAGGAAGAAGAAATGAGACTCGGCGCTGGGAAGTTGCAGAAAAAAGAAAGTCCGGCCCTCAAGCCCCGCCCCCTCATGCCCCGCCCCCTCGCTGCGCTGCGCGCTCCCCTGCTGACAGAAATAGCGAGAGGGGCGGGTCCGCCCCCGAAATAGCTCCGACTTCACACGGACCTTTGGGACCGTCGAGTCCCGCCGCTGACTGGCTGCCGGTCGGCGCGCGCTGCGGCCAATCCGCGCCGGCGCTGCTCATAAACTTGTACGACAACTTTGCAGGGACTCCCGTTAAAACAATGACCCCTGTGAACACTGTGGCTCCATCTGCCGTCAAAAAAAAACACCCCCAAAGACATCAGCGGTGTTACAGCAGCAAGGTGAGGGATGTGCTCCGTGCAGCGGGGCCCATATTAGAGGCCCACCGGGAAAAAAACGATCGAAAGCATTCGACTTCCCTTTTCTGTGCTCTTCCAAAGTTTGCGTTAAGGTTTGTATGTTTAAAATGTTTTTGAAGAAATTGCAAAAAGTCCACTTGGTGTTTCACTCTCGATTTTGTCTGGGGGAGACCTTCACGTTTCAGAAATAGTGTTTGTTTGTTTGTTTATCCTGTTCTAATGTACATTTCATTTCAAATTATTCCTTATATTATTACAATGTGGGTATTGCTGGATGCATCATCACCAACTTGAATCTGCACCAAACTGTGTCTGCAAAGTTGAGCAGTATTCAGAGGAAAAAAACATCCCTTGAATCTGTCTTGGTTTCCTTTTTTACGGGTTAGGGTTAGTTTCCTGTGTGTGTTTTGGTGCAATTTGGGCACTTGAAGTGTTGTTCTTTTTTATCATAAAGAGAAAAACTATTCAAAGAGATATTTAAAGCTACTAAACAAAATCAGCAAGTGAAACATGCCTGTAATATTCCTCGGCTACCACACAGGAATCAGGAAACATTTATTGCCATATTATGACATATAGGAATTTGACTTGGCGGTTGGTGCAAAACAGCAGACAGTACGACAATGGACGTCAACACAACAGTGCAAGAGGAATAAAATAAAAATGCTCCGGTTTAGTTTAAAAAAAGGAATAAAAGTTAAAGTTAAAAATATTAAAAAATGAAATATAATCTGGTAACATAACCGCTGTAGCAGCCTGCCTGAACTTTGTTTTCACGTCGTCGTCAACAACAGAAGAACGCCTGTATGAAGGAACCTCATGTGGAAATGTTTGGAATACTTTCTGTGGGCCTAATAACAATGTCACATACTGTTGAGCTCGACTGTACTAACAGCTTTACTCATCACTTCAGTCAGTGAAACTCTCAAGGTTACAATCCGCTCTTTATGTTGAAGGATATGAGATGACATGTATCTATGTGGGCTACTTAGTTACGAGACAAGACACACATCCCTATGCTGTTATGTTGTTATAGTGACCAGTGTAAATGTTGACACAATAAGTAGGTGTGCTCTTCAACCATTGTGATTGCCATGGTCTTGGAATTCTGCAGAATTTATTGAAATTTTTAAGAAAAATGTTTGTATTCATTTATTAATATAAGGACCTTCGTTTTCAGTATTGATATATGCAGCATGTTTGTTGTGATCATAGCAAGGTGGTCATTTTACACACCAAACTGTTTCAGAGTAATTAAAAGGTATCATATGCTCAACAATTTGATGAAGACCCTCTTGTGTATTAACTTTGAATATAATAAATCTACTCTAAATGGTTCCACATTTAATTGAAATAACAATGGATCTCTTCAGGGTGAGACAATCATTTGACATATTGAACTTGGGTGCACATTTAAAGACATGGTCAAATAGATTTAGTGTTGCAAAGAGGCCAAGTACAGACTGACTGAATGATAATACGTCAGGAGGAAGCTCTGACATAACAGGGTTGAGATGTTTGCCTTCAGTTACTTTAAAAGCAGGGATGTGGTGGGAGATAATTCGTCCTCCGCCACCTTCAATGCGGACGTGATCCTTAACAAGGTTTCATCGCAGACATTGTGTCAAGGAACAATGTTGAATATAATGTTTTTAAATAATAACTATAGTGACATTTCTTGATTTCTTCTTCTAGTTTATTCTCTCTCATTGACTTGCCGTCGTACCGCCCCCTCAATCCGTGTGGGTTGTGTACGTTGCTGTGGTAACACACATGACGTAGAAGACCAATCATCTTTTGTCGGTTCATCTGGTCCAGTCTTCCTAGAATCAAGAGGCTGTTGTCACGTACATCCTCTAAACGTCAAACCATACTGTGTGTGGTCGGCCTCATCGAAGCCTCCTCTGACCTTTAACGACCTGACCCTGTTTTTTGGCCTTTGCTCAAAACTCGTAAGCGGCCACTAAAGAGGCTATATCTCTGCAACACACGGTCTGTCATTTCTTTTTCTGGCATAAGGAAACCCCTTAAGAGTTCATAATATTTGCAATATGTTGACGGTTTAGAGTAAATAAAACTTAAAACAGAGTAAATCCTGCGCAGGGCGGCGAGATTGTTTGTGCAGACGCACCGCCGTGTGCACATTTTCTGGACTAATTTTCTGGATGTTTTCTAACTGTGTCAGGGCTTGTTGGAGTTGCGTTTGGAGCATTTACAAACTCATTGGCTGGTTTTGTAGCCCAGGCTCCGATGGGTCATGGGGTGTGCGATATTGTTATATTCATGTGCCTTTCGCGCGTATGGCTCCCTTTAGTTGGATCGCTCGGCTAGAAAAAGGTTTTGTGAGCTGGCAAAAAAAGAAACAACTAGAAAAGACGACAATGAAGACAAGCAGCTAATTAGAAATGCTTCATTTCATCAGGAATCAGGAACATGTCTTGCACGGTTGTATGTCAGACATGGCGGCCGCTTTCTATCTGTGAGCAACTGATTTTTTTCCACCTCCATCTCTTCCCCAGTTCTTGTTTTCTTCGTTTTCGACGCAGAATGTGTAATTTTGTTATGAGTTTCACTCGCACTCCTCAGTGTTTCCCCCCCCCACTTTCGGCCGTCCTTTTGTTTCCACAGAGCACAAGCGTGTGCGCGCCTCTGATCCTTAGTGTTTTCCGACCTCGGCGTCAGCCGGGTCAGCGATCAATACTGAAACCAAGAAGTGTGCGTGTGTCTTCTGCTGGTGGTGGTGGTGCTCCACCGTCCGCTCGCTCACCCTTGGGTGCCTCTGCGAACGTGGGGGGGGGGACCCATGCGCCGTTCCCAGAAACCCTCGGTGTGTGGGCGCCTTCCCCTGTGTGTTAAGTGTCTATTACCGTTGACATAAAGCGTGTGCGCAGGCCTGTATGTGTCGTGTGAGTGTGTCTGTGTGCGTGTGGTTAGTCCATTCAATTACACAATCTACCATGCAGTCTGAATCACATCCGGTTTTGAGCTGAAAATAACAAAACCGCAGGGTGACAGAAAAGCAGCACAGCAGGCAGCTGCCCACAGGAGAGAGCATTACATGTATGTAAAAAAAGACGTTTCTTCTACAGTTTGTGCCTATTTGCTCGTTTTGTCCTCGGATTACTGAGATCTAAAAACTGCAATATGCTTTTTAAGTATTGCAAAAGCCCCCACATGATGTCACTGCATAACAGGATTATTCCAATTAGTTCATATGAGGCTGTTGCTGAAATACTTTGTTTAAAATACTCGTTCAGTGTGGTAAATTGCAG